CAAATAGTAGTGCCCATAATGCCAGATTTCCTAGTTTACTAACATCTTTATTAATTTTAATTGAAAAAAAAAACAAAACTTGCCTTCGCAGCCTTGAGAATAAATTCCCTTTGAAGCTCACACCGTTTCTCCTGATCGAACTCATGCATCCTCTGTACAAAGCCAATTTGCTCCCTCGTATGATCTACTTGCTCCAAATGAGGATCATCGGCTAATTTGGTGGCCTTGTGGCCAGCTACGAGAGAGATACGAGTGAGTAAGGTCCTGAGAAGAGTGTTCAAGCCATGCGCCATACAATTCAAGGAATCCTCCGTGAGGGAAGCCACCTCGTTAGGTGGCAACTTGGAGGTAAGAAAGAGTCGAATCTGAGAGACAGGGAAGAAAGGTTGATTTAGTTGACTGCAAGCAGTTGATTGAGGTGAGGACATTGGATTGGAAGAAGACACGTTTGCTGCGGAAGACACGGTAGTATCAGGAGACAAGAAGGAGGAAGAGGTTGGAACGAGAGAGGAGTTTGGCGCCGGTAATGCTGATGAAGAGGCAATAGAAGGAGTAGAGGAAGGAAGAGGGGAGGGGAAAAGCGAACGCAATTGAGTGCCCGGGGGTAGGATAGTAGGACGATTTGGAGCAATGGGGGTTGTGCCAGACACACTTTGAAATAGAGCAGTGGAGTGATTTGTAGGAGGCTTAAGACGGAGTTGTGCACTGTTGGTGTTATTTATTGTAGGCGCTGGTCGGAGAGGTCGGATAGGAGTAGGAGAATTGGTGACTGCAGCACGTGGAGAGAAAACAGAACTATGTACAAGTGGAGTGATAGGCCGTAAGGGAGCAGGACTGATAGGGATAGAGGAAGTGGAGAGTTGGAAAGTGGAATTGGGGGGAAGATTATCTACAACAGCAGGTGAAGGTCGAGGAAGAATGTGGGAAGCAGAGGACTGAGACGGAGTATGAATTATTGCAGGTTGAGCAGCTTGCGACACTGTTGATGTTGCCACCACTGTGGCCGTAGTGGTTATAGTTGAGGCTCCCACAAGCACACTACGATTGGGAGGTCTGATGTTAGGAAGCGTTGTAGTCCCATTAATTAGGTCCATTCGAAGTTTAGGGAGACCAGTGTAGAATAAATTGTCCACATCTTGTCTCCGTGAGGTTTTCAAGTGCAAATACAATTGAACAAGGAAAACATCACAAGAAACCTTATCGTCCTGAGAAGCGAAAAAGTATGCGTCAAAATCATTGAGGAAGGAAGAAATAAAGATAAGCAATGACCATAGTCGACTCACAATAAGGTCTTGAACCAATTGTATAACTTGTGCACGTTCACCAGTGTCTGTCTTATTACTGGTCAAAATGTGATTGAGAAATTTTGCCACAGAAATGACATTTCCACTTGCCTGTGCGGCAGGAGGCTCTACAATAATAGGGCAAATATGAGATGACATGGCAGGAAATAGATTCTTACGTATTTGAGCCTGAGTTCCAACAACACCATTAGCTTGGTGATTCAGCGGTTGATTTGGTAGGCTTCTCACAGGAAGAAGATTCGGTTGTGATAGGGGAGCACGATTAACGATATAAACTGGTTGATTGATAACTTGTCTAGGCATCTGTAAGAGCAAACGGATAAAAAAGGCTAGAGATGTTGAAGATGCAATATTATAAACCCGCAAAGTTGCAAAAATGATCAAATGTGCAATAAAATACCTGTGAATTGGCATTAGCTGCGATGGGTCGTAGTCCCGTTCGATTATTTGCCACTACCAATCCAGAAGATATAGGCAGCTGTTGTGGTTGTCCAACTTAAGTAAAATGCAGTATTTATAGCATTAGTAATTAATAGAAAAGTATTTGCATTTAAGAAAGATACCTTTTGAAAATACATAAACGTGTGAAAAAGGAATATTTAATTGCAAAATATGTATTTTCAAGAAAATGTTGGAAAGTGCTCTAACCAGAAGAGCTGCAGTTTCAAAATATTAAAGCATATTTTATTCTATGAAATGGTATCAAATGTGAAGCTTGAAACACAATTTCATATAAAGTTTTATGCATATGACGGCAGAAAACATGGCTACCTCTAGACGGGTCCGTCATGACTGAAATGAGCGCTCAAACGTTTGCTCATTTATAGATTCAAATACTGTTATATCATTATAAAATCATAAACCTTTAACTATTTAAAAGCTTTTATTTAAAATATATGCTTTTTTAAGAATAAGTTTAAGATTTAATTTTCATAAATTTTGACTTGTCATAATGTTATTTTGATTATTGAATTTTTATTTATCACAAAGAAAGTATGGAAAAGAAGGAATGTTTGCAATTAAGGCCCATTTTGACATTTTTAATGATTCTTTAATGGTGTAGTTATTATAGTTACAAGATGTTGATTTCTTCACATGATTTTATTTAAATTTTGTTTATACATTGAAATATACCTTACATTACAACCATTTGTAATGCGATTTTTAAAAGATCAAGTTAATTATTATAGTTATGCTTATCAAGTTTGATTTTCTGTCCTTAGATAATGATCAACGGTGATGAAAATTATTTAATCAAATTTCATAAACATTCATTTGAGATAGAGGTTAGGGATCAGCTTTTTAGGCATTCGTGTCTAATCAAAGACAACTCTTTAATAAATAATTTTGAGTTACTGGAAAGTAATTTAAGACGATCTTAAAAACGAATTTCAATGACATTTTATTTACTTATACAAACTTAAACATAAAACATAAAGTATTGTCAGTTAGACTTTTTATTATTGCGGAAAATTATCTTATCTAACTTTGCACGAAATGAAATTCATTATTTGCCTATACGTAACCAATTAAAGCAACCTTTTGAGAATTTTGGTACTCTCAATATGCTTATCAATAAAAAAAATGATTGATAAACGGAAGGCTGACTTAAGGATCTAATTACGCTCCCTTGTGTATTATGGGGGTGATAATATCGGTTGGGAAGTATAAACTCGATCTAAGCAGTCCTAAAGCATTAAGAATGAAGGGACAAGTAGAAGTAACTGCGTATCAATTGAACCTTAAATTTCGATTAATTTAAAAATTCTTAAATCTTTTACAGTAACTTTATGATCATATCACACATTCTTTAACTTTTTATATAGGGGAACACTATTTTGTTATAAATTACTCGTAAATAAAAGTAGTTGATCATATTTTTAAGACTTGGTGTTATTGAAATTTTATTTATCCTTCAAAGACGGAATTTATTTGTTAGATTAGAAATCAAGAGTTAAACAAACAAATAGAGATAAATTTTCGCAAAGTTGAAAAGAAGCGACATTGAAGATCGTTTGCACAGGTCCTTAATATTTATTTATTTCATTTGGAAGGCGTTTTGGTAGTTATCATTAGCCCTTTGGCTAACTTCGGGCTTCACAGAGAGGAGGAGGAACATCAAAGTGAGAAAAAGTCGAGGGGGGGGGGATGTGAGGAATGAATAATTATCCACAGATGCAAAAGAGACATGCAAACACAAAGACAGAGAAAAGGTAATATGAGTACTTTGGAAGGGATCGAATATGACAAACAGTGGGGTCATGGTAGTTTGAAGTCAAAAGTCAACTGCCCGTTAATAGACTTTTTTGCCCTATGAGTATACATTGCCCAGGCTGCACCACGTGGAAGTAAGTATATCGCACACCCCCAGAGGAATATGCAGCCGACAATATTGCATCATCTGAGCAAATTGGAAAGAGTACTTTAGACATTTCTGTCTTTTTAGTTCTATTTGCGCAAAATGCAGTTCGATTTCTTGCTAACACTTTAACCGATTTGAACTTAATTTTGAAGGTAGTAGATCAGAATTGCACAAGATGCTGATTATTGAAAGCAGAAAATATTTTTTGTATTTGTTCTATTTTTGTAATCTCGTCTATTTTATAATTTCAAACAGTATGAACTCTTAAATTGCAAGAAAAGTCTTTATTCATTCTAACTCTATCACAATAGAATGCTTTTCATTATAGTTATATTTATTTTTGTTTTTGGAGGGACAAACACGTAGATGTAGTAGAGTGCGGTCAAACGTAACCTTCCAAATAGTTGAAAGCTCATTTGCCTAACGAACCTTTTCAAATTACAGATTTAATCCGACTGAACATTTGCAATAATAAAATTCCAAAATAAATTTGTTTATACATATATATCTTGCGTTTTTATCTTTGAAATTTCATGAGAGATTAGATTGTTTCGTAAATATTCATGCTTTTTCAAATACATCTACGTTGAATACTAAGGCATTGATATTTATCTCTAAATGCGGGGCCAATGAAAAATATCATAAAGTCTGCCATTTGAAATAATAATAATAATCTCTGAATGTTTTTTCTTTATTTACATGCCTGTAAGGGTAATGTATTGTACTATTATTGAAGACATTTTGACAATTTACTGATTGAATTTTAGAAAAAACCAATTACTTTGCTCATCAACGTGTTTTAAAAGAATGGATAGCCTACTTTCTAAGTTGTAGTCTGAAGTAATTCAAGTTGAATATTAATAGTTGTTGATGGAATAGTTGATAAAATTTTTTTGAGCGTCGATCCGATTTATTGAGATTGAATAGATTGCTTTTTAAAGCAGCTTGTAAGGCCTTTTATTTCTGATTTGAATATTTATAAGAAAATTTACGCGGGCATACAAGATATCTCCTACGTTGCCACATAAGAATCAAAAGATGCCCTAATATGAAATCTGTTCAGCCAATTTGCTTGTACACTCATATGGGTTTTTGGATCAGTTGGTTCGTTTTATCAACCTGCGTATAAATTGAAGTCTTATTGATCGGTCAATTGCTGTTCCGGAAACATGTTTAGCATTTGAATTCTGAAATTGTTGTAGATGCACATTTGATAGTTACCTTATAACCGCCATGCGAAAGAATGTTCTTCATAGAAATTGTTTTTAATGCCCATTGATCCCCGCAAAATCCAAACATGAAATGAAAATTTTCGAATTGTTTTGAGCGTTTCTTCAAAGGGAACACTTATAATGTAAAAAAGGAAATAGAAATCAAAGTTTCAGCATTGAGTTTTACAATAAATGATTAAGTGGGTTATTGATAAATGTAATAAAATTAAGGATTTGCTTAATAAACTGATAAATATTTCATTTATTGCAAAGTTATGATGATGAACGTATACTAGGTCTGATGGTATAAAATTCATAAAGTTGAATTTAACTTTTGCTTTTTCGACCTTTGTATAATTGCCAGATAGTTATAAATTATTGGGAATTTTGAACGAATGTGAGAGTGATTTTACAGTCTGTAGATGCGTCGTCTCAATGCTTGTCAATAGCTAAATATTTTCATACTACACAATTTAATCCCACAATTATGTATAAAATAAGAATAAAACTTAAATCTTTCTTTATTTTGCACTTAGTCACTAAATAAGTACTATTGACGCTATACCATTTGCTTACACCACATGTTCTGGACCGTATCACAATGTGGTGAATGTTTTATTTGAGAGTCTGCCTTTTATATGCGTCAAATAAGTGTAGCAAAATCATATAATGATTAAGGTTATTTATTTTTAAAGAAAAATGAAAGTTATCAATCTCGAGATAATTTTCGGTGTGCGCTCCATTTAAGCAAATTCTGAATGCTGTTCAAATGTGAGTTTTACGTTGATCTTTAACATATCCTTTGGTATGATCTCTCGATTTAATTGTTTTATTTCATCTAAAGGTTTAGTTTTATTGCTTCACGTAAACTTTCTATGATAATTATGCAGATAATGCAATTTTAACAGTTACATTGTTTCTCACTAAACCTTTACTAGCTTAAAGACATTTCTTTCTTTTACTTTTTTTTCATTGCTTGTAAAAATGTTGAACTTGTTAGTTATTGTTGTTTGGCAATCACTTTTTTCGCCTTTTTAGATGGAAAATAACCCTCGAGGAATATATAATGGGCCACTAATCTCTATAGACGAAGCATCTTGTTATGAAACAATTCCAGAAGTCCCAGTCTACCGTCCTTCAGAAGAGGAATTTCGCGATTTCGCTACTTGCATGGCTCATATCGAAGAAATGGGTGCTCAGCATATGGGACTTGTCAAAATTATCCCACCCCCTTCCTGGTGTCCTCGGAAAAGCGGTTACCAAGATGTTGATTTTATGGTCGAAAAGCCCATTCTTCAACTATCTTCTGGCACACAAGGTATCTATCTCCAAGATGTAAAGGTCCAAAAGAATATGACATTCAAAAAATACGAGAAATTCTCTAACTCACCCAAACATCGAACCCCACCTCATGCAAGCGTTGATGAGCTAGAGAAGATCTACTGGAATACTATAAGTAGTATGCAACCTCTATACGGTGCTAATTTGAGCGGAAGCTTGACAGATGAGGATCTTCCCATTTGCAATATCCCCCGATTATCTTCCATGTTAAGCGATGTCTTAGCTGAAGAGGACATCGAAATCCGTGGTGTAAATACGCCTTATCTCTATGTTGGAGCCTGGGGAACTACTTTTGCCTGGCACGTTGAGGATGTGGAACTGTATTCCATCAATTATATGCATTTTGGAGCTCCCAAACTCTGGTATTGCATCCCACCCGCTTTTGCTAGAAAATTTGAGGCCTTCGCTAGAGGTAAGGCGGATGACACATTTTATGAGGGAATTCTTTTTAGAACACTTTAAATCGGAGTTTTTGGCCTGCCGTAGTTTTATTCGTCACAAATCTATTCTTATTCATCCAAAGATTTTAGCTGAGGCTGGAATTCCTACGCGACGAGCAAGTTACTTTATACGTCCTTTCCATTTATATTTATTTTATTACTTTATGTATGCCTTATTTAGTATTGGTTTGATAATGGGCAAAGATATTAACATAACGTTTGGTGCTAATTTAACTGCAGATGAGAGAGTCAATGCATTTTGTTATTACTTGGAGTACCAATTAATCTTGCGGTAGAATGTCTTGTGACCGTTTGAAAATAACGCGCAGACTTATAACCGCTTATTCGACACAATCGACTTATTAGTTATAGTCTGGAAAGAAAATTAATTGTACTTGTTCGCCATTGGCTAATACGGGTTCGAAAAAAAGCCAATTAATTTAAATGTATAATTTGCCCGAATGAGTGACACTGAATCACAAAGAAAACGCTTTTTTTCATGCAAAGTGAAGCCTCTACGACTTCTTTTTTTACTTAAGGTTCTTCAATATCCTGGTGACATAATGTGCACATTTCCCTATGGATATCACGCGGGCTTCAACCTAGGAGTTAACTGCGCAGAATCAACCAATTTTGCCCTAGAACGATGGGTTGAGTATGGTAAACAGGCATGTATTTGCCAGTGTTGGGAAAATACAGTTCGGCTTGATATGGAACCATTTATTCGACGCTTTCAACCCCAACACTATGAAGCATGGAAGATGGGAGAAATAACTGCTCCGCATCCCCTTAATATTTACAAACCTCGAATGACAGTCGAGAATGAGCATTCAGGAGGGTCTGAGGGATTCCCACCGGAATCAGACTCCTTTGAAGGTAATTTTCACTTAATTTTGATCGACATCATGTCCATAGGGGCATTAGTAATTCACTCCTAATGAGATCAAATGGATTCATGTTATTAAAGTTCCACGAATGCAATTCTTTATGAGATTTTCACATTTTTGATGATAGTATTAATTTTGTTTTGTCTATTATTTATTTATTTATTTCAAGTGTTAGGCGTTTTGATAGCTATCATTAGCTATTTAACTGACTTCGGGCTTCACAGAGGGAAGGTTCATCAAAGTAGCAGAAAGTCGAGGGTGGGGATCAGAAGAGCGATTTACAGATGTAAAAGAGGCAGACAGACACAAAGGTAGATATAAAGGTAAAATGAGTACTGTGAAGTGGTCGAACATGACATACAGTGGGGTTGTGGCAGTTTGAAGTCAGAAGTCAACTGCCAGTTAATGGACATTT